TCCGTCGAATTTAGTTTCAATAACACCATGTACCGACAGATTGACGGAGTTGCTATGGGCTCACCTTTGGGTCCGGCACTTGCCAACATATTTGTTGGCTTTCACGAAGAAAAGATACGAAAGAGTTCCCTTTGTCCTCAAATGTATTGTCGGTATGTTGATGATACCTTTTGTTTATTCAACAGCGAAGTTGAGGCTGATCAGTTTCTTTCGTTTTTAAATGGTATGCATCCAACACTGAGGTTCACTGTTGAGAAGGAATCCAGTCTTCAGTTGGCCTTTTTGGATGTATTAGTACATCGTACATTAACAGGTTTTCTCACTTCTGTTTATAGAAAACCTACTTTCGCCGGGTTGTATACGCGCTGGGACTCTTTTTGTCCCACTAAGCGCAAGATTAACATTATTAAAACCCTCTTACATAGAGCATTAAAGATTTGCTCTGAGCCTTTCTTGAACGACGAAATCGACTTTATTAAGGATACGCTATGTAGTTTGGGTTATCCTCTTGATACTGTTAATTCAGTTATCCGCAGTAAAGTTGAAGAGTTCAGAAGTCCCGATCTCTACACTGTTAAAAAATGCCCAGTTTACCTCAGAGTACCCTGGATTGGTACCAAATGTGAAAAAATAGCTAAACAAATTCCATCCAATGTTCGTCGTTGTTTTTTCTCTGCCGAAGTTCGGATTATTTTTCAAACTCGGCCTATGTTTCATTCTGCGTGTAAAGACGTTCTCCCTCCCCATCAAATTAATTCAATTATTTACAAATACGTTTGTAGTTGCAGAGCCGACTACATAGGGAGAACAACTCAACACTTAGACATGAGAATAAAACAACACATTCCTACAAAAATTAGAAATCACACCCTGCCGTTGAATGGACTCGTCCCGAACACATATGGTTCCGCCATATGCGAACACCTATTAAATAACAGAGATTGTGCAGCCAAATTTAGTGTTGACTGGTTCAGTGTGAAGTCGGACGACTGGCTGACTGGCGGATCGGCTGACCGGTTGAACTCTGCCTTCGGGCGGGGAGGAATCCGAACGAGTCTACGCCAATTAATAAAGTCGATTTCGTCACAGTACGTGGTTACTCACATATTGTCTTCTTGATTACCTTACAGCGGCTCGGATTGAGGATTCGGAGAGCCGAGTTCGAATTCCAGTCGAATCCATTACATTCATTTACGTGCTAAAACCCTTGTGAAAGGTGTGAATCCTCTACTTCTCCCTCCAGCTATAGGTAAATAGCAGGACAGACCGGGTTCTATAGACTTGGATGGCAACTGCTCTACCACAGAAAGAAATAGCAACTTACCGCGGGAAAAAAAAATCTGCCTCGCCAGTCATGTATCGAAAGATACATTATCGCTTAAGTGTGTATCACGCGTGGTACATAACTGAACTATAGAATATGTTATAGAATTTGGAAAACCGAAAAAACCCGCGAAAAGATGACCTCTAGGTGTGCATGTAAGCCTTTGCGAAGGATGGAATTGAAATGAAAATTCATACCGAATCCATGTTGATAATCTTCTTTAAAAATCAAATAGTAATCAACGGGTTTCTGTGTCATAAGACATTGTGACTTCTGCTTTTATAAGTATAAAGCAGACATGGCATAAAATTCTTACTTTACTTTTTTGGACAGCCATTTTTTTTCTCTAAAATATTATATTGGGTAACAACTCAGAACTTGCCATTGATTTTTGCTACATAAGTTATATACCGATTTCTATATAACTTCAGAGATCATGCTTTGTACATGTGAATGTTTGTAGCAGGATAACGCATATTTGTTGCGAAAAAGATGTAAACTTCTATAAGCGCATATGAAATCCAGATCTTTTTTTTTTATTTACGTTGGTATATAATGAAATAGCCCTAATGATAAAAGAAGCATTTTTATAAACGAAATATATCTTTGTTTTCCACATAATCACTTTTTTGCCAATTCCCATAGTGTAATGGTAAATACTATTTATAAGGTGGAATAGCAGAATATATAAAATGCATTGTTAAAGAAACTGCAAGCATGCTCAAATCAGCATATGCCCCCAAGAAATATCTGACGTCTTCTGACACAGTGAATCATTACACGAATGAGATCAGATTAAAAATGGAGTTATTGCTCTCATATCTGGGTTGAGCCTTCTTAATGTTCGCCTTCCATCGTTGATAGATATCAAAATCTTTTACACGATCTTCTGGTACATGGCTTACTTTCCACCCTGCAACCACTTTCCCCACAGTCGCAATGTTGCAAGCCTATCGCTTACTCTATGACTACTCCCAAGGAAACTGTTAAGAAGAGCTCCATTATACAAATCCACCAGGTCAGAACTTTATTTCCCGGATAATTCAAGCGAATTCCGCAGCTTCGAATTACATCGCACTGAAACAGGGGTACCCGTGCGATCACCAAAGTTAAGCAACGTCGAGTCTGGTCAGTACCTAGATGGGTGACTGCTTCGGAAATATCATGTGCTGTAAGCTTGGATGTGCAGGTGGTGTAATGGATAATGGCTCAGAATTGTTAATCAGAGAGCCGAGTTCCAATTTCCGTTGGGTTCGATATATTCACTTACGTGCAAATAACCTTGGGAAAGGCATGAATCCACCACTTCTTTCTCCCATTGGTCAATTAGTAACATCACTAAAACCATTATTATATCCATAAAAATGTTTCCTGGCTTGAAATAACCGGCAAAGGGTTGATAAGCCGTAAAAACTGATCAATCAACCGATCGAATTATTCTTTCCTCTGTGTCCCAAATGTTAAAAGAAAAAAGTTCCATTTCTTTTCTCGAGGACTACCCCTTTGTAAGACAAACACCCAGGTGGATACTTCATTTCAGTCTTGTCTTCTTCAAGTCAAATTTAATCTATCAGCTTTATTTTTATAGTATTCACTCTCTCTAATCTTTATTTATCACACAATTTATTCATCTTTGCGATTTTGGGTGCAAAACTCTAGCTTGAGTGGCTCGTATCGGCAATATTATGTAAAAATAACAATAAATAAATTGGAGTGAAATGATTAACCCAAAATATAGCTAACAATCGAAAATAATTTTAAACAAAAATATATCGGTTTCTTTAATTAGAAAAAAAAAAAGAATTTTTCTATCTGAATATACTCGTTTTTTATTTATAGTTTTTTAATATGTATAAAAAAGACTCTTAACGTTTGTAGACGTGTTAAAAAGATTATTGACACGATTGTTCGCAGGAAGAATGATTCCGTGGAGTGACGCCATATTGAAAACCGGTTCTGGTTGTGTGAATAAACGACATCTCACAGCAAGGCCTCTGATCGCGGGGGTGGGGGTGGGGTTGATGAGCGTGAAACATCGTCCTAATTGCTGTTGTTCCAATGTCCATCCTAAACCAGGGTGAGAACACCTGTTAGGGTCAAAACACTATGAAAGTATAAAAAGACATTTTCATAGTAAAAACACCAGCAACATATTTCCTGGAAAAAAAGAATTACTAACAATACATTTTTGTAAATGAAATTACTAATGCTCCCAAGAAAATTAAATTTCGGCATTAAATGACCCATAAGGTGTTGATATGCCGATAGAGAAACTTGAAAGTATTTCCCAATGTCATTTTGACAAAGAGATCATTAAATAAATAAATTTAGTTATCGATGCTATAAGTATACTGTTATACTGAAAAACACCTATTCTATTGTTAATAGACTCTCTCACTTATAAGTAGTAGTAGTAGCAGTCGCCAGGCAGCTCAGTGAGTTGGTCTGAGTTCAGTCTGAAGTCGGACGACCAGCTGACCCGTTGAACTCTCTGCCTTCAGGTGGGGAGGAACCCGAAAGAGGCTACGCCGAAGGGCGGATTCTCTTTCGAGGAGGTAAACCGACCCTGAACCAGTTTATACGGGTTCAAAGGGCATATTTTTGGCCGAGCCCACGGGCTCGGAGATCCCACGTTAAACCGGCCTTGTGCCACATGATGCCCTCGTGGTGAGGGGTGACTGAATATCGCTCAGTGGAGTTGGTGTGTCAGTCGATGTCGGACATTAAAGTATCAACCACCACAACTAGATTGCTGCGTCATTAACTATTATTTCAAGTTCCCAACGTTTTGTACATCGAAACTTTTTTAGGACCGACTTAGTAAAAATACAAGCCTCCACTGTGAAAACGACTTTACAACATATAGAATATTTAATAATATTCCTAATCCAATGAATTTTCGAAATTATAAAAAAAGAAAATGACTATATATCATTTGTTCCAATATTCTTTCGATTAATGGAATTCATGGTAAAATTCTTTAAAAAACCGAACATAATTTCAAAAGCAAATATCTACATTTCTCCAGATTAGGCAAAAATACATTTCCTATAATTTCTATAATTATTCTGCCTTCCAATGGCATAATTTTTATGAAAATAGAATTAATTCTGATATGCGATTCGAACAAATCTTTGAATAAAGACATACATTATGCCAAAGTCTAAAGGATTACCAAAAAGTAACATACAGTATAAAAGACAAAGGTACACACATGCACATACACATTTGCATGCTCTCTCTCTTTCTCTCTCACCCGTGCGCATGCGCGCGCACATACACACACAAACATTTTTCTCCAGGTTAATTTTAAATTCGGAGGTGTCATTTTCTGAAATTATTTTCTGCATAGGAGGCAAGGCAGAAAATCGACCCACTTTCCAAAATCTGACGCAAATAACCAAACCGATTTTATTCGGAAATATCTTCTTGGTCACTTGATAACTTTTAAGAGTTCAATTTCAGAACAAATCATGGTATAAATAATAGAATACCACCCTAGATGACCCAAACTTTACGGTCTACTTAAACCCCACAAAATAAGCATTCCGATACGCCCCATTATATCGGGTGTTTTTGCAGCGCTCGCCTGCCACGAATCCCTAACAAAAATTTAGCCATCTTTCCTTGGACCATTCATATGTTAAAAATTCCGGCATCCTGGTCGAGAAATTAAGCGAAATGAATATAATTCATGGCTAGATCAGATATTAAATAACTTTATAGAAAATTTACCTGTTAATTGCTTAATTTAAAAAAAAGCGTCTAACGCAATAAGAATAAACTTCTCTCTACCAAATTTGCTGACTCATCACCAATCAATAAATAAGTGGTATTGAACCTTGACAATCACTTTTACACGCACTCCGCCCTATATATATATATGTATATGAACTCTGGTAAAAACATGCAATGATAACAGCAAAATTGCAATATGAGCACAGGTAAAAATGGGTGCAGAAGACATTAGGTTTATAATACCCAGAAATTCATACCCAGATGTCCTCAAGAACACATGGCGCAGTGTATAGAGGCGTTGGTTAGCTCCAGTGACAGGAACCAAAGAGTGTGAGTTCAATTGGAGAACTTTCAGAGGGAAATTAACAGGAGATAACTGATAACTGAAATCCATCAAACATGGCACGTGGAATTAGAACAGTCTACGCCAGTGAGCGAAATGAAGGGTTCGATTCGACATTCCAACCAGCTGAAGAAGGCCGGAGCGTACAACGGCCGAAACGTTGTGATGGATATGGCGAAAAAGATGAGGACAATAGTCCGAATAATGTAAATAATATATATATATATATATATATATATATATATATATATCAGGAGTTTTCTTAACAATATTTATTATGAAAAAAGATACACAACAATTCAACAATAACACTTTCAAATAATTTTTCCTGGACGTATGATTATCGACACGCATTTTTATTAGCTGAAAATAAAATAATATTATTAATAAAAGTAAACAAAATATCAATTCTCATTAATAAATAACTTGCCTACAAAACGCCTGGTAATTATGCACCAATCCAATGCACGAAAAATAACAAAGACAGATAAAAAATAAACTTGCAAAGTTAACACAGAAAGATAAACGAGAGAACACAGAAAACTTAAAAGATATTTAAAAAGAAAAACAAGAAACAAATTAACACGTGATAAATAAATAAAGAACGTAAGAAAAATAATCACGTAAAAACAAAAGAAACTAAAAGGAATATAAATAAAAAAAATAATAAAAGAAAAAAATCAAAAAATGAATAAAGTAAAATGAGGGGAAGAAAAAAAAAGAAAAAATCAAACATTTTGCAAAGAACAGTTAGTAAAGAAAACTTAAGAAAAAGTTAAAAATAATAAAAACTTATCGTAACAAAGAGTTCAAAATAAACAGATAATCGTTTACGCTGACAGAAATTTCAATTAGCGGTTGTATCGGTTGGTTAAGCGAATTTTGGAATAATTTATTTTGAAGTTTACTGAGTTTTATAAGCACATAGATTCATAATATTGGTGTCTAAGGATACGCAGAAATCCAATCATTTTAACAAGGGACGGTAGGATATTTATTTTCACTGACAACTATTGTATCAAAATATGAGTTACTTTCGAAAAGAAGTTAAGTCAAGGTAGTGTAGATGATGGCATTCGTTCAACGCATGTCGCCTGGTCTTTTACAAAGACAAAAGGTTTTTCGGTACTTTTGTTTCGCCGTTATATTTGTACTTGTATATATAAAGATTTTTCTAAAAGGGTTGATTGTACATGAATACGTCGTATTGAACTACAATTTTAAAATATTATTCTTAATTTTGATTACTAATAGACTATACTTATTTTAAAACAAATAAATGTAATAGAATTACTTACATTATGTAAAAATTATTATTAAATATCAAATATAAATATGTATATTTCATTTGTCAGCTTCTTTTTTTAAACATTATTTAAGGAAAATTTTTGACAATGTCGGCAAAGAATAGCTATTTCACTTTTTTGATTACGTAAATTTTTATTTTATTATAAGCATAGTAATATATAGTTTCTCATGTATTCACAAAGGACATAGGCTATTTAATGACCTACATATTCTGGCTTTTCTTCTTACTTTCCATTTCACAGTAGGTGTTTTATTAATTTCTTTTAAGTGTCAGAAATATTTCGATAGGGACGTCTGATTTCGCTATTTATCTATCCTAAAAGAACCTTGATGTTGGTTGAACAGTTACTTGAACTCATGCCTTGTGCATCCAATGTACACATTTACGTTTCTGGATCCTCAGTAGATGAGATATTGCATTGGTACACTAATGATTCAGTGCGACATTTCTTATTACGTGGACAGTTATGAGGATTTCTGCAGTTACATAATTTCATGTTTATCTTCATCTCTTTTTATTATTATACTGTCTAAGTTTCTTGGTATTTGTTTAAGTGTTTATTCAAGATATTATCATTGTTTCTTGATAATTTTTTTCTAAGTTTTCAGTACAGCTATGACTTAATTTTAGGGTATTTTTATTGAAATTTATCCTTTTACCATTTGGTTGTATGGGGGTGTATACCAAATTATCTTTCTACTTTTGTTTTTTTCTGTGCTTTCCATTTTCCTTTTTCATATAAATTAGTTTTGGGCTTTTGTAGCCACTATCTTTTAGAGCTTTATT